ATCAAAATTCGGAAAAGTTCCTATTCTCCATAATTACCATTTTTCCATATAAAACTAACTTTGTATTGTTCCTGCCATATGTGACTATGTTGTTGAGGTCCCGGAACGTGACAAACAATTCTTATGTCTTAAATCATTCAGTATCATAGATAGGAAATCAATTAAATTTTGAATCCGGCTAACTTCCATTTAATAAATATTTAATTAAAATTATCTGGATCACTCACAAACCTTTTTAATTGCACCACAAACGTCTTCATACGAAATACCAACGATTTCATATACAAATTTTATCTAATTTATCTATTGCGCTAAGTATACGGTGGAAAAATAATTAATTAATTACAAACAAACGAATGACTCACAAACCTTTCTAATTGGACTAGAAATGTCTACATACGAAATACAAACGATTGCATATAGAAATTATTTAAAAATACATTCAGTCGGCGTCAAGTATGAGCGAATACGCGGTTCATGTCACATTTGTTTTAGGTAGAGTCCCTGTAGTAAGAGTCTGGCAATAAATATTTTCCGTTTGATTGGTTTGACGCAAAATGGTGGAACCAATAAGGTGTCTCGAATCTGGGGAGTGATCGCGTGCACGATCGAATTCGATCGGTCGACTTCTCATACGTCTCTACTCTACAGGTTTCATGGTTCATACTTATTTATTATAGGATAGTTTCCCTCAGACCATAGATTGATCATGTACGAGGAGTGGTATCGGATGGCATATTCCTTCTCGAATTCGAATTCGATCGGTGCACGTGATCGCTCCCCAGTACTCTGAACGCGGGATTATTATTATTTGGTTACCTTTGGTCTGTTCGTTATCGCTGCATTACTGCACTAGTGCAATTAACTAACTGCACTAGTGCAGTAATGCAGCGATAACGAACAGACCAGACGCCATTTTGCGTCAACCCTTGCCAGACTCATAGGCTGATAGCAGCCAACCATCCGTAAGCGCTTACGGACTTCCGTAAGCCGTAAACTTAAGGTAAGGCAGAGAGAAACTTAAGTCCGTAAGCGCTTACGGATGGTTGTCTGCCATCAGCCTTACTACAGGGACTCTAGTTTTAGGTAGCGTGAAATAAACACCTTCTATTCCGATCAGTCTCCCTCAAACTCACCATCTAGCATACCGAGTGTTTCTGTGATTTCTTATTTTGTAAGTTATTTTCTTAAATAATAATTATTATAAAATAATAGTTTTGCCTTTCTTACAGTGTAAAATGGCACCAAACAAGAAGAAGGTGGAGAAAAAACACGTGCACTTGAATGTGATGCAGAAATTACAGCTAATAGAGAAATTGGAACAAGGCGCCTCGGTTAAGGATGTTTGTAAAATTTATGACGTCGAGCAAAGTACCGTCAGCGGAATCCTTAAATCAAAGACCAAATTGCAACAGTATATCTCATCACACAATATTCATAGCTCAAAATTAGATACTTCTGTAATAGGGAATAAAAAATCTTTCAAGATTGGACCAAACAGTAATATAGATAAAGCTCTGTATAAGTGGTATAGTCGACAGAGATCCCGTGGTATTAATGTACAACAATCACAGTTGAAATCGCAGTTTGAGGCTCTTAGAACACGTATGGGACTCAATATCACACATACGAGTGCCTGGTTGACGCATTTTAAAACTAGACATGACATTACTTTATTTTTGAGCAATGGAATCTCTAGCGAATCTTCAGCATCAGAAAAGAAAATCAATAACGAAGAGCAAGTTAGGCAAGAAGAATCAAGTAATGTTGGAAATGTGCCTTCATCTTCAATTTCATCTCGGATTGCTTCTACACGTCACGACATTTCTAATTTAAATGCTTCTACAATAGGGAAAAAGAAATGCATGTTACGTAGCCCAAATTTCGACTTAGATAAAGCTCTGTATAAGTGGTATAGTCTACAGAGATCCCGTGGTATTAATGTACAACAATCACAGTTGAAATCGCAGTTTGAGGCTCTTAGAACACGTATGGGACTCAATATCACAGCTAAGAATCACTGGTTGAGGAATTTTAAAACTAGACATGGCATTACTGTATTCTTGAGCGATGGAATCTCTAGCGAATCTTCAGCATCAGAAAAGAAAATCAGTAACGAAGAGCAAGTTAGGCAAGAAGAATCAAGTAATGTTGGAAATGTGCCTTCATCTTCAATTTCATCTCGGATTGCTTCTACACGTCACATTTCTAAATTAAATACTACTGCAATAAGGAAAAAGAAATGCATGAAACGTGGCCCAAATTGCGATTTAGATAAAGCTCTGTATAAGTGGTATAGTCTCCAGAGATCCCGTGGTATTAATGTACAACAATCACAGTTGAAATCGCAGTTTGAGGCTCTTATGACACGTATGAGACTCAATATCAAGGATGCTGAAAAATGGCTGCAGCATTTTAAAAAGAGAAATGGCATTACGTCATTTGTGAGCGATGTACTCTGTAGCGAATCTTCAGAATCAGAAATGAAAATCATTAATGAAGAGCAAGTTAGGCCAGAAGAATCAATTAAATTTGGTAATGTGCCTTCACCCTCAGTTTCATCTCCGATTGCTTCTACACGTCACAACATTCCGGAATTATCTATAAAAGCGGAAGATCTTTCTTCACCCGTATTACCATCTACGAGAGCTTCTGCACATCAGAACATTTCGGAAGAGTCTATAAATGTTGAGAATATGCCTTCATCGTCATTTTTACCTCCAATTGTTTCTACACAGTCAAAAATTTCCGAAGACTCTATAAAAGTTGAGAATTCCTCTCCAGGATCATATTCTTCTCAAACCGATGTTTATCATAATTACGTTTGGGAAGAGTACGATATAAAATCTGAAGGTTGCCCTTCACCTTTAGATGATAAATCTTCAGATGATAATTAAAGATTCGCTAACACTATTATATCAGCAAAATACGCCTCTTGAACCACTTTGTTAATCAATAAAGAATGTTTATAATGATATAATTTAACAATTTTGTATTGTATAGTTCAGTATACCATATTAAAGCTATTGTACAATAAAGGCGTCAAGAAATAATAAAAGCAGCATTTTATATAATATACAAGAAATACATTAAGATGCGTTCTCATATAACCAGTATTAGCACATGTTGCTTTCAAATATTGCTAACAAAAATGTTAGCATCAATTTTATAGTTAGCATCTTGCTGTGTATGTACATATATTGTGCTGTTGTTTGTTAGCATTTGATATCGGAAATAAAATATTTGTATAATTCTAATATTATTCTGGTACTAAGTGCCCATGGAACGCCAATTCCCGTACAATGTGCTTGAAAGGTGTATTTATACATTCCCACTTATAATTAGTACACGTGTTTGTCCCGCATGGAATGCGCATTTTAGGTAAATTGTGGCAGCATATTCCAAAAAAAACCGTACCGTTGATCTATTATGTTGAAGTTTTTATGGATAAGCATGTATGTGTAAATATAAAGAATTATATAAAGTTATATGTCTTAAATATGCCCAAATGTGATATTCGCACCTTATGAACGCAATTAATGTCGTTTTGAATAAATGGCAATAAAACGCGCATTAAAAGCATGTTATATTCTCAGTGGCGTTCCTTGGGTGCTAGCCAGGTGTAAGGCTGGGTCTACATAGGATGTAGTAAGTCGTGTCGGAAGAAAATGACCAATCACAGTTCAGTATTCTTCTTACGGTCGAAAAATAATGAACTGTGACAATTTCTTCCGACACGACTTACTACATCCTATGTAGACCCAGCCTAATAGATATAACATTTTTATATCAGCTAGAAAATTGAAAACAATGTATGCTAACTCTTTGTTAACAGTAGGTCTGCTCGATGTGTTCTCGCTTTTGCTGTGCAATTATCTACGACAAAATGTTATACTGTACTTAAATCACTGAAACTTTGAATTCATATTCCTAGCAAAGAACTTCAAATACTACACACAGAAAAATATATACTACCTGTAAGTAAATATTATTTGTTCCAAGTATTTGATAAGTTTATATATCCGCAAATCTATCGTAATGTCGTCGCAAGTGTTATATTTACTCAAAACATATTCTGGTTCTTAGTAAGTCTAGTACTTCAAACAAGAATACGTAGAATTATTTGAAACAAAACAATTTTGTTTCTTCTGATTTTATTAAAAGAAGCATCCGGAATTCTTCAATAAGTTTTATAATTTTCTTCAAAGAAGAATAAATTCTTTCGTTGAATATAAGTTGGCAAGCTTTTCTAAGACTAGTAACAAATATATCTTAAAACTATTATTAAGAAAATATTCTTGGTTGGAGCAAACTATTACTTAAACGGAATAAAATAAACTGAGTAATTACTTTTCTTGACTGTACAATAATATTTTTCTGTGTGTAGCATCAGTTGATTTTATTTAATTTCGGTCCATTGCTTGAGTATACTGGCTATCTGGGTTATACGTTTCTGAGCATTAACGTGTATATTATTTCATTATACATATACTTCAGATTGGATTATTTAAAATGCAAATATATTAAATCCACATTGTTTAAATTTACAAGCTAAAATATAAATATTTTTTAGTTTTCACTGCAAAACACAATTCTTATAATAATATCTTGAATTGTTTTCATTTCGCATTATAGTATACTTAATTTCGCTCCTTTTCTCTCTCTTTTCATATACTCATATTGATTACTAATTCTTATTCCTAATATTTTCTCTATTGCGTGCAGGTCTTTAAGCCTTGATTCGTTTGACGGATTGTGGACGGAACCGGACAAATGAAAACACGCTACGTATGTATGTACCTTAAGTGCCAATACGTGCGTAGGTCATGTCACATTTGTTTTAGGTAGCGTGAAATAAACAGCTTGTATTCCGATCACAGTCTCCCTCAAACTCACTATCTAGCATACCGAGTGTTTCTGTGATTTCCTATTTTGTAAGTTATTATCTTAAATAATAATAATTATTATAAAATAATAGTTTTGCCTTCCTTACAGTTTAAAATGGCACCAAACAATAAGAAGGTGAAGAGAAAGAAACGCATGTGCTTGAATGTGATGCAGAAATTACAGCTAATAGAGAAAGTGGAACAAGGCGCCTCGGTTAAGGATGTTTGTAAAATTTATGACGTAGGGAGAAGTACCGTCAACGGAATCCTTAAATCAAAGACCAAATTGCAACAGTATTTGTCAGCATACAATATTGATAGTTCTAAATTAGACACTTCTGTAATAGGGAATAAAAAATCTATCAACGTTGGGCCAAACACAAGTATAGATAAAGCTATGTATAAGTGGTATAGTCGACAGAGATCCCGTGGTATTAATGTACAACAATCACAGTTGAAATCGCAGTTTGAGGCTCTTAGAACACGTATGGGACTCAATATCACACATACGAGTGGCTGGTTGATGAATTTTAAAATTAGATATGACATTATATTTTTGAGCAATGGAATCTCTAGCGAATCTTCAGCATCAGAAAAGAAAATCAATAACAAAGAGCAAGTTAGGCAAGAAGAATCAAGTAATGTTGGAAATGTACCTTCATCTTCAATTTCATCTCGGATTGCTTCTACACGTCACGACAAATTAAATACTTCTACAATAAGGAAAAAGAAATGCATGAAACGTGGCCCAAATTGCGATTTAGATAAAGCTCTGTATAAGTGGTATAGTCTACAGAGATCCCGTGGTATTAATGTACAACAATCACAGTTGAAATCGCAGTTGAAGGCTCTTATGACACGTATGAGACTCAATAACAAGGGTGCTGAAAAATGGCTGCAGCGTTTTAAAAAGAGATATGGCATTATTTCCTTTTTGAGCGATGTAATCTGTAGCGAATCTTCAGAATCAGAAAAGAAAATCATTAATGAAGAGCAAGTGTGGCCAGAAGAATCAATTAAATTTGGCAACGTGCCTTCATCCTCAGTTTCATCTCCGATTGCTTCTACAAGTCACAGCATTCCGGAAGTATCTATAAAAGCGGAAGATCTTTCTTTACCCTTATTACCATCTACGGGAGCTTCTGCACATCAGAACATTTCGGAAGGGTCTATAAATGTTGAGAATATGCCTTCATCGTCATTTTTACCTCCAATATATTGCTTCTACACAGTCAAAAATTTCCGAAGACTCTATAAAAGTTGAGAATTCCTCTCCAGAATCATATTCTTCTCAAACCGATGTTTATCATAATTACGTTTGGGAAGAGTACGATATAAAATCTGAAGGTTGTCCTTCACCTTTAGATGATAAATCTTCAGATGATAAATAAAGATTCACTAACACTATAATTTCAGCAAAATACGCCTCTTGGACTACTTTGTTAATCAACAAATAATGTTTATAATGATATAATTTAACAATTTTGTATTGTATAGTTTTGTATACCATAATAAAGCTATTGCACATTAAAGGCATCAAGAAATAACAAAAATGGGATTTTATATTATATACAAGAAATACATTAAGATGCGTTCCCATATAACCAATGTGAGCACATGTTACTTTCAAATATTGCTAACAAAAATGTTAGTATCTTGTTGTGCATCTATGTCTATTGTGCTGTTGTTTATTAGAATTTGATATCGGATATGATATATTTGCATAATCCTAACAATATTCTAGCATTAAGTGTCCAAGGAGCACCAAGTCACGTATAATGTGCTTTAAAGGTATATTCCACTTAGCACTTAATAGATGTGTTTGTCCCGCATGAAATGCGCATTTAATGTAAATTGTGGCAGCACATTCGAAACAAACTGTACCGTTGATCTACTATGCTGAAGTTTTTGCGGACAAGCATGTATGTATAAATATGAAGAATTATATAAAGTTATATATCTTAAACATGCCTAAACATGTGATATTCGCACCTTGTGGAAACAATTAATGTCATTTTGAATCCAGGGCAATGAAACGCGCATTAAAAGCATGTTATATTCTCAGTGACGTTCCTTGGGTGCTAACCAGTTGTAATAAATATAACATTTGTATCTGTTAGAAAATTGAAAACAATGTATGCTAACTCTTTGTTAACAGTAAGTCTGCTCGATGTGTTCTCGCTTTTGCTGTGCACTGATCTACGACAAAATATTATACTGTACTTAAATCATTGAAACCTTGAATTCATATTGCTAGCAAAGAACTACAAATACTAGCATCAGTTGATTGTATTTAATTTCGATATATTGCTTGAGTATACTGGCTATATCTGGGTTATACGTTTATGAGCATTAACGTGTATGTTATTTCATTACTTCAGAGAGAGAGAGAGAGAGCGAGAGAGAGAGAGAGAGAGAGAGAGAGAGAGATTGGATTATTTAAAATGCAAATATATTAAATCCACATTGTTTAAATTTACAAGCTGAAATATAAATATTTTTTAGTTTCGACTGCATAACACAATTCTTATAATAATATCTTGAATTGTTTTCATTTCGCATTATAGTATACTTAATTTCGCTCCTTTTTTTCTCTCTTCTCATATTGATTACTAATTCTTATTTCTAATATTTTCTCTATTGCGTGCAGGCCCTTAAGCCTTGATTCGTTTGACGGATTGTGGACGGAACCGGACAAATGAAAACACGCTACATATGTATGTACCTTAAGTGCCGATACGTGTGCGGGTCATGTCACATTTGTTTTAGGTAGCGTGAAGTAAACACCTTGTATTCCGAGATTACAGTCTCTCACAAATTCACCATCTAGCATACCGAGTGTTTCTGTGATTTCTTATTTTGTAAGTTATTTTCTTAAATAATAATAATTATTGTAAAATGATAGGTTTGCCTTTCTTACAGTTTAAAATGGCACCAAACAATAAGAAGGTGGGGAAAAAACACGTGCACTTGAATGTGATGCAGAAATTACAGCTAATAGAGAAATTGGAACAAGGTGCCTCGGTTAAGGATGTTTGTAAAATTTATGACGTTGGGCAAAGTACCGTCAGCATAATCCTTAAATCAAAGACCAAATTGCAACAGTATATCTCATCACACAATATTCATAGCTCAAAATTATATACTTCTGTAATAGGGAATAAAAAAATCTCTCAAGATTGGACCAAACAATAATATAGATAAAACTCTGTATGAGCTAGTGGTATAGTCTACAGAGATCCCGTGGTATTAATGTACAACCATCACAGTTGAAATCGCAGTTTGAGGCTCTTAGAACACATATGGGACTCAATATCACAGCTAAGAGTGCCTGGTTGACGAGATTTAAAACTAGACATGGCATTACTGTATTGTTGAGCGATGGAATCTCTAGCGAATCTTCAGCATCAGAAAAGAAAATCAGTAACGAAGAGCAAGTTAGGCAAGAAGAATCAAGTAAAGTTGGAAATGTGCCTTCATCTTCAATTTCATCTCGGATTGCTTCTACACGTCACGACATTTCTAAATTAAAAGCTTCTACAATAGGGAAAAAGGAATGCATGTTACGTAGCCCAAATTTCGACTTAGATAAAGCTCTGTATAATTGGTACTTTCGACAAAGATCCCGTGATATTACTGTACCAGATCTCGAGTTGAAATCGCAGTTTGAGGCTCTTATGACACGTATGAGACTCAATATCAAGGATGCTAAAAAATGGCTGCGGTTTTTTAAAAAGAGATATGGCATTATTTCCTTTTTGGGCGATGTAATCTGTAGCGAATCTTCAGAATCAGAAAAGAAAATCATTAATGAAGAGCAAGTGGGGCCAGAAGAATCAATTAAATTTGGCAACGTGCCTTCATCCTCAGTTTCATCTCCGAGTGCTTCTACAAGTCAGAACATTCCGGAAGTATCTATAAAAGCGGAAGATCTTTCTTCACCCTTATTACCATCCACGGGAGCTTCTGCACATGAGAACATTTCGGAAGGGTCTATAAATGTTGAGAATATGCCTTCATCGTCATTTTTACCTCCAATTGCTTCTACA